AGCCATTACGCTAACTGCTGGTTCCCAAGAGCATGAGAGTTTAAATCTTTTTTCTTTTTGAGGTAGAGGTGTTTGCCTTAGGGAGCTTGTGCTCACTGGGGGGAGAGAGAGAGAGACAGTGAGAGGGGAAAGTGGGAAATCATCCTTCAGTGGGAATGGTCATTCTGCAATCCCTTTTCCATTCTCCTCCTGGGATCTTAAGCATGCACACACATGTGCCCAGCTTGAGTTTCAAGCCACCGGGTCTGGGTCTTGACCCATGGTCAGTCCTGTGGGAATCCAGCAACATAGTAACTATGCCATCTGATGGCCCAAAGATTTTAAATCTTTTTTTTTTTTTAAAAAGAATTAGTTATTTAATTTTCTTTATCATTATTATTTTTTTTAATTTGATTAGAGAGAGAGAGAGAGAGAAGGAAGGTGTGAAAGCAAGCTGCCAGGCCTGGGACTCAAACCACTGTTGACCATGTGGGCATACAGTGCTTAACCACCATGCAATCTGCCAGCCCCCAAGATGTTAAATCTAACTACAAGTTAATCTACCACCTTTTTAAATTTTATTTTTTAGAGAGACATTTTTGCTATAGGCTGCATGCACTCACCAGAGAGACAGAGACACAGAGAGAGACAGAAAGCAAGAAATCACCCCCCAGTGGGGATGGCCATATCACAATCCCTTCTCCTCCACTTCTCCTCTTGAGATTCTGAGCATGGACACACATACATGCCTGGCATGAGTTTTAAACCACTGTGTTTGGGACTTGAACCACAGTCAATTACGTGGGAGTCCAGAGACATAACCATTATGCCATCTGTTGGTTCCCTCTACCACCTTTTTAAAAAATTATGCTATAGGGTATATGTACTCCCAGAGAGAGACAAAGAGAGAAGGAAAGAGAGAAATAACCCTAAGGGTAGATGGCTACACTGAAATCCCTTTTCCATTCTCCTGAGATCTTGAACACACATGCCCAACTTTTTTTTTTTTTTTTTTAAGAGAGATTCTTTTTTTTTTTTTTTTGAGAGGTTTTCACTATAAGGCATGTGCGCTCGCCAGACAGACAGAGAGAGATATAGAGACAGAAAGCGAGAAATCACCCCCCAGGGGGGATGGTCACACCA